TTTAAAAATACTTGTTCCATTCCAGAAAATTAATTTCTTTCACGCCACTGAGGAGTTTCTGGATCGGTTTCCGTTTTCTTCCCGATGTTACGTAGAAATTGTAAGTTTTTGTATCAGGAAGAGGGAGGGGGTAAGTAACGGTGGCGTGCCAGATCAGCAAATTAGGTAGTGGAACACCCGAGCGTGAGAACCACTGATCTAGAATGTATTCTGATTCTGCATGTTAGAGATTCATTTTTTGTATTTCATTTCGTGTGCATTTTGAACGTTTATTTTTTAAAATAGCGTTGTGTGTTGAATTTTCATCTTTCATAAATATGATAACTTTATTTGCAATTCGTTCTTTCGTTACTGCGCCACTGCCACTACATTTCACCAATATTCTCACTCCGGCGAGGTGCTCTCTGAAAAAGTTTCCCAAGATCTTCGAACTGAGATTGGAAACTCAGAGAGATTTTCATGCGCTTCAAAACGCATCTCTTCGATTTCCCCAACAAGCTTTCCATCATACCACAATCACGCGTCATATGTTCAACCGTCACTACATTTCATCAGTATTCTCACTTCGGCGAGGTGATCTCTGAAAAAGGTTTTCCAAGATCTTCAAACTTAGAGCGGAATCTCATAGAGATTTTCATGCGCATGATTTTCATTACCACGCTGCGTATGATTTGTCATGAGATTTGGTTTACACTATCTCAAATACTTCCATTGCTTGACTGTGGCGACATATCTTTCATATGTCTCGCACACATTTCGCACATAAAATGGCTCTACGACATGTTTTTCGTATGTCGTACACACGATTTNCAGGTGTCGTCGCTATGTCGCAATTATAAGCAAACTGTGTCGCATGACGTAGTACGTATGACATCCGAAAACATATAGCACCATCGTTTCAAAACGAGTGCTCCTGAATCTGTAATTCTTGGCTTAGTGTCATACGGCTCAACAGTAAGCGACCACGTGAAATTCATTTATTTTAAATTATTTATTAATAGTAAGTTGTTTTTTAAATCATTTTGCGCTACAGTCGGTTTTTTCTGTTGAATTGTACTTGTATGTTCCTGTGTGTTCCCGTTTTATGCGTTTAGTAGTATGTTTTAAAACAACAACGTCGAGAAAACCCGTCGTGAACATTGTGGAATACAGTGATACTGACAGAATGCAATATATGCCTAGCATAATCTCACACCATTTACTAAATTATATTGAAATTTTCAGTACAAATCTGATTATCAAGGTTTGTCGCAATATCATGTCGATGTCTCGCTCAGAAATCTCGAAAGAAAGAGTCAGGACCACAAAGGTCTTATCAAGGCACCAGCTGCGCATAGCTCAGGGTCTGCCACCATCGAGACGAGGTGATGATGAGTGTAATACGAAAAGAGCAAGAAAAGAGGCGGGAAGTGGAAACGAGGTAACGAAACAGATGAGAAACGGCGCGCTTGATCCCGTGGTTATCGGGAGTGAAATTTCGGCAACGGTCACCCCAGAAGACTTCGAGGTATGGATATTGTTTATTTTCTGGCAAAAAATGCAGTATATGTTTCGAGAGTAATTGAACTGAATATACGATTTCCTCAATTTATGTGAAATTTTTGGTTACCTTGAGGGCTTCAATTCAGAGTACTATGAAACAGCGCATAAGAACGCCCGCGGTGATCGACCTCGTAAAAATGCGAAACAGCGGCGCGGTGCTTCTCTCAAACATCAACGTGGTTGTGTCGGATGAGACAGTGCCGGAGAGCGTGCGACAACTGTGCGTATCAATGAGGGCATTTGTTAATTCTGTTATCGGCGTCACGTGTGTGGAGAATCAAAATACGGCATACGTAATAGATGATATTTCGAAAATGCATGAGCGTTTTTCTGGAGTATCGCCATCAGCCGAGGTTAATGCTTTCTTCGTTATCTTTGAGGTAGTATACTCTCATGGTTAGTGATATGGATTCCAGTGAAGTTGAGGAAATTTGAAAGATCCGATTTGCACTTGATTTTACAGGATGATTTCACCTTCGATGCCACGAGAATAAAGGAATCATATGAGGTTGATTTGGAAATTGGAGATGAAATAAAACGTGTTTCACTTCGGGATCTTCTCAGTGACTATGGGAATAGCGGAGGACAAGTTATGGACGTTACGTCATCGGATATAATTGCGCCATATACGCGATTCGTTTACGACAAGGTAATATTAGGCTTTAGAGGTTCATCTGTTCAGAATTGACGACTTTGAACTGTAGTTCAGATATTCGGTGAGCATTGCGCTCGTTTCACAATCTGCAAGACGAAGAGTAGAAAGGAATTGGAGCGCGTGCCACCGCGCTTGACCAACGGATTGCTGAGTAAGTTCATTTATATTTTCCCGCTTGGGATATATTATTCCTGATGGATTGTATTTCCAGATTTGTTTTTGGACGGTTTCGCAATTCCGCATGATTCCTTGCTTCAAAACGCTAAGCAGCAGGACATGCGACAATCAATAATTAAGAAAATGGCTGCGAGAGGGCGTCAGTTTTTGTAAGTTTATCTTTCATTTTTTAAATTATAACAAATGACAATTCGTTTGTGTCTCGCATTATATTTTGTAAAAAGAGATCTTCAGTTTATTGGATAAGTATAGTCACAATTGCTGCTATTTTCTTTTGTTTAGTTCGTATAAACGAAGAAGTACTGGGGATTGTGGTATCACATGCGCCCCGAAAAGTGAACAGTAGTTTCGCAGTTGGTCGCTCGGTTCTCTCAGCTCATCTCAGTTTCGATTCGGTATCTGTTGATTTTGTTAATGATTCGATGATTTCATTACCACTGATTCCTATGCGTGTTTTTCGATACCGGGTGCATTATCTGTTCACGCCTTTCAAATCGTTGTTAATGCTCATTTCATGTTGATGATGTTGATCTCATTTGATACCTTTCGAAACATTACATTAATGCTCATTGATGTTGATTCAAGCCTCTCATCACTACAAACTCTGTTTCATCGTTTCTCATTACATTCTTCGTTTTCGCAATTTTTTTTTGCTATATTCCATCTCTATTTTCTCTTATTCTATTTTTATTTTCTCTATTTCTTCGTTTCTTATAACAACAAAGCTAATTTGGCACTTATGCTGTTTAGTCCCTCCACCCGCACGCAGACACCATTTGCGCTTTCAACAACACCGCCGCACGTTGTCATACGCGCTTTAGGCCACACCCATTCTGTTACGCTGACTTCGGCATCGGGCTTAGGCTTAGGCTTATCCAGTAGGCGTGGCTACGCGCACG